TATCATCATAGATTTAAAATTAGCGATTGAAGAAACGCTGCAACATTAGATTTAATGAGCATTGAACCTACAATATAAATCTCAGTTAACAATATCATTATTTTTTACTATTTCGTAGCATTTAGTCGCCATATTAGATCTAACTATTTTAAAATTTGATATGCAGATTACAAATTCATTATCAGCGACTAAAAAAAAATTTTAATACTAGATTTCATGAAAATAGCAACCGATTTAGTACGCTTTAACTAGTGATTTCACTATTTATAGTTCGTTTTCCTCAGATTTTGACTGCCGTATTGGGTTCATCATATTGGTTTTTTAAAAAAGCCAGAATGTAAACAAAAGTACATATATATAGCTATAAAATAAACCCAAAAAGAAATTTTTTGGTTGCCCCAATTTTTGGATAAGGAGGTGTCAAATTTGACAAAGAATGCACCACACACACACACACACACACACACACACACACACACACACACACACGAGGATAGGGTGAAAAGTCCCGGGCCTGAATAAGAAAACAAAATTTTTTTGGATTGATTTTCATTTATTTCTCAATATAATTTCCGTTTAGCGTGATACACTTTTCCCAACGATGTTCTAAAGCGGTTATGCCAGACTGATAGGTCGATTTGTCAAGGTCCTCAAAGTAGCCATTTACAGCGTCGCTAACTTCATTGTCTTTTGCAAATCTTTTCCCATCGAGCAATTTTTTAAGGTTGGGAAAGAAATAGAAGTCGGTTGCGGCTAAATCTGGCGAGTATAGTGGGTGGGCAAGCAATTCAAACTTTAATTTATTGATTTCAGCTTAATCACGGCACGAATTTCCACTTTTTCCATTTTTACAAACAATGCTTGAGGCGTTTACTTTGGAGAGCTATCAAATCAACTAAACAATTTATTGATTTGAATCTTTGAATATAAGCATATGAAATCATGCAACACTATTAAAATATTTAACATAACAGAGCTGTCTATATGTGAAGCCCGGAACTTTTTACCCTCTATATATACGGAGAAAAATAATTTGCTGACCAAGCAAATTTTTTGCTAGTCTAGCAAAATCTTTTCGTTATTATATAGACAGCAAAAAGATTTGCTAAGAGTACTAATCACTATTTGCTGGATATAATTTGCTGAATCTACAAATTATTTTGTTGTAAGAACAAATTAGTTCTTGTCCAATTAGCAAATTGTTTTTGCTACATTTACAATATAAGTTTGTTATATGAGCAAAACGCGTTTGCAGCATTAAATAGATGTTTTTGCTGAAGGAACAATTTGAACTATATGAATAAATTAAATTTGCTATTATAGCAATACATAATTGCTAAATAAACAATATAGTTTTGCTATATGAGCGATATAACTTTTTGCTATATTACCTAGACAGCACAAAAAATTTAGAAAATATTTTAGAAATATAGATATATTAAATTTTCTATAAATACTCTAACGTCCGGATATGTCGGGTATGGAAAACATTATAATAAATATAAATGTAAAAAGATATTTATGAAGAATATTTATCATAAAAATAAAAACATGATTTCATTTAAATAAATGAAATGTGTTTTGATTATTTATAGAAAATAATCTTCATAAATATTTTTTAAATATTTATCATAATATTTCTTATATCTTAATTTCCCGAACATTAAATATTTAATATACCCATATTTTTAAAATACTTTTTTAAATATTGTGTACTGTCAGAGTCAAAGCAACTTCGCTTTGTGAGAAAACTAACTTTATAGAATTATTCGGAAAACAAATAAGCATTAATAAATTGAAGAAAAATCGATCAAGACAATCAAGAAGATTAAACAAATAATATGTGGAGTTATATAATACCTTTATTTTCGAATGTTATCAACAATAACATAGTTAACTTAATCTAAATAAAATATAATTGTTATAATGAGAAAAATATATATACATATATATCGATATACATGTATTATTACATATCAAATATTATATCGTAATACAGTAGAAGTAATGAAGTAGGTGATAAGATTTTGATTTTAAGTTATCTCCTTTTAATTCTATGTATAATTTATTATGTTTGGATATCAAACAATTTATCAATAATGAATCATCTTTTGTTAATGTTTTCGATAGAATGATGTCTAGAATTCTTTTTAACAGGATATATAAATATCAAAATTTATTATTTTCTAGAATCATATCTGCTATATGAAGTCCAAAAAACTTAACAAAGCACAAGATTTCAGAAGCTGTCATTTTTTTATCTTTTTTTCAAATTATCCTATAGATATTTATGGAGGTCTGTTTGATGAATCTATAAGTTCAAAATCAAACATGGCTAAATGAAAATTTAATATATCCAGAGAAAAAGATGGTACGTTATTTTGAAAATGATTAAGAATGAGCAGAATATCATAACAATACACTCTTAATATATCGTGCATCATATCTACAGCAAAATTAGATATAATGTGAAACGAATTGATTTTATTACAAACACATGGTTCTTTTATCCAATAGATAGGAAAGTTATTCATCATTATATCTCTTTCTCATTATCATCTTTCGATCGTGAAAGTGTTTTATTCTGTTCGCAACTAATTTCTGTTTTGCGTTTTGTACATTTGCAAAATCTACAGGGATAATTGCAATTAAAAATCCAGAAATATCATGTAAACCGAGATTATCACCTAGAAGGAGAGCCAGACTAAAAAATACTTTTTTACATCCTTCTTTTTGTGAAGTATTTATTATTATCCCCTCACTTTCTAAAAATTGTAATTCTTTGATCAAAGACTGAAATACAAAACCATTAAAATTGCCAAACCATTTTCTATCTTCGCTATGAATAGCAAATTAACATAATTTTTAGGACAAATAAATACTCAACAAATTTTTTCTATCCTGGCAACGAGACTATTTTTGCTCTGATAACAAATAATTTATAAAATTAGTTTCGTCAACTAAATTTTTTTGCTGTCACTATGAATATGCAGTAGCAATGACGATTTTGCTAAAAGAGCAAAATTATTTTTCTCCGTATATATATATACAAATTTTATTAAAATACCATATAACTTTATCTTACAACTTTATTATTTCTATCTGAAATTCCAATTTCTCACATTTCAGCTAAAAAATAATTTCATATAAAATAATTTCGTATAAAAATAATTAATTTCTTTCGTTTTGTATCGTAATTTATTTTTAATTATTAAATATTGAACTAAATACAACATATAAGCCTTCCTATGTGATTTTATCATTTTTTACCAAAAATACAATTCAGTTATATGAATTTTTCTTATTTAATTTTATCAAATCTTTTAAGTAAGACATTGCTTAGACATTGTAAACAACACAAATTTTCCAAATTTACATTTCAAGCTCTCAGTTGACATAAATATTGATGCGCAAAGTTTTGCAACTTGTACATGCCGAATGAGCTTCGCTCAGGAAAATTTTAAAGAACATTATCGTATCTTTACAACTAAATTTAGAGACTTGGAAATATAAGAAAAGCTTGCGCAAAAATTTCTATATATACATGTTATATTTTCAGCTAAATATGATAAAACAAAGCAACACGCATTTATACAAAATCTATAGACAAGAAATACGAAAAGGGTAGCTTGATCATGTTAGTACTTTTTATCTGACATAACGTTTTGAGACCGCTTTTACATTATCAACATTTTTTAAATTTGTTATCTTCTTTGGCATCTTTTTAACTCGAACACTTCTTTCACCGATACGATTCTTACACTGATAAAATGAAAAAGCGACGAAGATTGTTTATTGTTCTAATATAAGCATGATGGTGAATCGTTACGAGCAGATTGCTGTTTTATTATCACGTCTATAATACGAAAGTCTCGCAATGGCCGATACGGACCGAGACTTGCAAGCGTAAAGGTATCATAGAACCTCCTTTCCCAATAAATTTTCTCAACTGGACTGAAGCTTAATTGGCGAGATATTTAATGTCGAAGAAGAGCGAATAATGATCTCTGGTAGAATCTGCACCAGAGAGCAAGAGCGTAAGAGAAAGGGAGAGAGAAATTTATAACTTCAAAGTTATCGTGGCATCTGCGATTGGAAAGTTATTCCAAGGTTTACGAACACCTGGCACATATCCATGCAAAAAGTGTTTATAACATCGACTAGAAAAAAAATTTTATGTTGTACTAATCGTAAAGTTTCGTACTTACATTAGCTGACATTCGTTCCAGAAGGAGATAAATTATGTCGCAATCATCGCTACGTAGATCTGCTCGAGTGTCAAAGACGCTTTCACCGATAAATTTATTAGTTTATTTTTGTTAAAAATGTTTTCTTTAAATTGTTCGTCAAACAAATTCTTTGGCATCCCAAAGCCAACATTTTTTCTGACATGCCAAAATTTATCTTTTCAGTCTGAAGATATGCTTGAATAGTTCCAACTATGCGATCGGTGAAGTTAAATGATGCAATATAGAAGAAGCAAGCAAGAATTCTTTATTTCCGCTTGCGACAATATTTAAATTGATTGAACAATTGAAGCTTCTAAATGGATTGATTTCGTTGGTTTCACTTTGGAACTCATATGAAAATATAATTATGTACGAACGCGCATGCGTATATAAATTTTAAGATTATGGTTATTAAATCTATTAATTTATAGCTGACTAGTACGCACTTGCGCTGTATCTGTAAAAAAGTTAAATAAATTTAAATTTTCTAAGCATAATTTTAATTATCTCCGAAAGTGTTTTGCAATTTACACGATGTGTCAAATTATTCAATGGAATGTCGTTCCCGGATCACGAATTATAGATCGTCTGAAGTAGACTCAGAGGAGCGTTAAGCGTGAAGTATTTACGACGAAAGATAAGGGTATATTTCGCGTCATTATCACCGTCCACGCACACATACAAACACACGCGCGCGCGCGCACACACACACACACACACACATGGGCGAATATCTTCCGTCTCTTCAGCCTGCGCTTTTTACGACGCATCTGGATGCGCTCAGCGTAACGTCAGTGCGTGCGGTGCACCGCGGTGGATATAATCGTATAAGGTAGAGGGTAGACGACGCCTTAGATGGTTTCAAATACAGCGGCAGCGGCAGCAAGCCAGACTCACTTGGTGAGTGCAACTTGGTCCGTCTAGGCAAAAACTAGGATAGGCCTAGATGGCTCTTCGTAGCTCGGTCAAGATGCCCAACGACGGCATGGAGAAAAACGCAACGGCGATCACGTGGCGTAGAGAAAGAGAGAAGAAGACGAGGTATCTGTCTCTACGTGCACGACGTACGCGTGTATGCACGTACACGTGCATAGTGTGACGAGTGCTCGAATCTCTGTCTTGAGAGTTTCCAAACAGTTTGTATTCTACGAAGATTTCGTGCCGCTTCGGATATTATTTAAAACCGAAAGTTTTGCAGAGATTCAAATCTTGATTCGAATGTTTTACTAAAATAAATAGATGTGTGTATACAATATCTTTACAAAAAAAAATATTATCTCATCTTTAGCGGAATTCTTGGATTCTTAGGAATTTTACTTTTAATGTATACGATAGAGGATTCTTCTAAAATCAGAAAGAAAATGTTCTAAGCACAACTCATATATATAAGCACAGAAAATTAAAAAAGAATTCAGTCGTATGTCACCAATTCTAAGTTCATTTTCAGAGGCAAAAAGAATTCTTCAGAGTTGAGTGAAAAGAATTCTTTTTGCATCTAAAAATGAACTCAGAATTGGTAACATACGACTGAATTCTTTTTTTTAATTCTCTGTGCTACCTAGGAATATTCTTAAAGTTAGAGAAATTTACTTATAGTAAAAATTTTACTTTCGCATCTCTCATATTGCGCGTAGGAAAGTATTCTGTTTGTAAACATTCCTTTTGATTCAAAAAGAAAAACCTTAGTGTGTGTGTGTGTGTGTGTGTGTGTGTGTGTGTGTGTGTGTGTGTGTATATATATATATATATATATATATATATATATATATAAATGCATATAAGTTACAACGTGGTGATAATTGGTCATATTGATTTTTAAGACTTCCGATATATTCCAGATTCCTAAAATGTTCAAGACCATCGGGCTTATAAAAACTTCTGGTTTCGAACAATATTAGAAAAAAACTCGAGACTCTCGTCACCTGTCTAAGGTGATTCGATGTGCTTGAGCCCATCACTAGACGCGCGTATACGCACGCACGACGTACGCGTCACTGAAGAAAGAAGCTGGAGAGGAGAGAAGCACGCGAAAGACAGAGAGAGACGCGGCTAAACCTTGGAAGGAGAGACGCGGGAGAAGCAAATACTGCCGGGATAGGTATATTCAGCGTAGTCGACCGGACAGTGCACTGAACTTGGCAAGAAATCCAAGGTTGCACGGCTTAATGATCTAGTTTCTTCGACGAAGATATGATTCACCATTATGCATTCACTCGTCGTGCCGTACGTCCGTTCCCGCAACGCGCGTATACGATACCATCCGGGACCTTTCGCGATACGCCCGCGTGAAAATCCGCATTTCGTATTTCGCCATGTGAGATGTAAGCTGATAATCACGCGATATGACTTCCATTTTATTTTTTGTTTTTTTTTGTTTTCTTATATAGAATTATATATAATAACTTAGTTTCATTTACGTAAGTCAACTATATGTCTCATTATTTTGTACATCAGGATAGTAAGCTAAGAGTTATGCTGAAAAAAAACGAACATTCACAAAACATATCATAATTACGCAAACATATCTGTTGCATATAGTTGTATCATTCCACGAGACAGCGACCACCTGCGATATAACGCGTTTCAACGATATAACGCGCGTATGTATGTTGGATTAAACTGATGACATCACGAGTCTATTTTCAACTAATTTTTTGTTATCGTATTTTCCTGATTTTACGTAACAACAGCCGTGTCTATACAAATTTCCAAGTGCGAGGGCGAAATGTCCGTTACGTAAAATGTCACTGTATGTTGCTTTATAGACTAAATCAAAAGGTCTCCAATTAAAAATTCCACATTAGTCTCATAAACAGTTTTGAAATCTTTAAGTGTGAGTTTATTTCAATTTTTGTCGACTTAGTATTAGATTGGTATGACGGATTTTTCGTGTTTGTCAAATAAAGTAGGAACCGATATTATCCAATTTTGAAGGACTAATCCTTTAATGGAGACATGAAAATTTGAAACATAAAAAGACGTGTATCAAGTGCAAGTTATATTCCAAATTGTTTATGCAAATATTAAATAAATTAATATTTTTTATTTGTTAATTATTATTTATTGTTGCACATATCTTCAAATATATTAAAAGTTTGAAGCTCAATTTTTGTTTTCTCAATAATTGAAATAAATCGTACATTTCTTACAAGCTGTTGAATAATTTAAAAAGTTTTATGATTTATTATAACAAATTTTATTTTACATAGTGTAATTTACCAGAGGAAGACTTCAAAAAAATAAAAATTTATGGTTACGTATCTTTATATATGTTATAGTTATAATTTTATAAATTCTTTTCTTAAATTATGGTAAAGTTTTATTTTAAAATTTATATTAAAACCGTTTTAATAGGTTGTCTTACAAACATATGATATTATAATAAATAACATTTTAGTATATAAATTGAAATTTTTAAATTTCATAGATATTTTAAGAATTTTACAAAAAGACATCTTTTATATATATATATATATATATATATATATATATATATATATAT